AGTATTTATCTTCATTGTTTTCAACATTTTGTTTCATACAACATTAGTTTGATGCTTTCTTTTTGTAAATTAAGGTTATTGATCACTTTTCTATGTACATTAGCAAGAGCACATTTAAAGTAAACATAAACTCTTAGGTTTATTTTGTTTGTTTAAACATGTCATATTATTTTGAGCTAATCTGTGAGTGGACAGCAATGTTGCTGCCCTACAGCAGAATGTATTCCTCAGAGAATATCTCCCTGTCCCAGCCCTTCAAATTTTGTGTTTACTGATTTTGTTGCTCAATGAACAATTCTAAGCTGCTTTGTCAAGTTCATTCATGAAAGATCACTGTACATTATGAGTTTGTTACAATTCTTTATAAGATTTTATTTTCATGCAACCAATTTTCACTTTTTTTTTTTAAAGCTCAGCTTATATAAAAAAAAAAAGCATACATATTTCTCTTTGTTGTCTTTTTATAATGTCAAGTTAATTTTTATGTCAACATACATGTATTGTATCTACATGTATTGTATCGTATTCACTTTGCTCTCTTTTTGTATGCTACTAAATTTTATCTTGCAAAAATATTTGTATAAAAAATGAGTACAACTATTGTTTAATTATGATGTTGACCACCCTGTTGTGAGTTCCCTGTGGTGTTATCATTTTCAACATATTTGCCATACAAGAAATAAATGGAGGAAAAAATGGGTTCTTGTTTTAATTTATTTCATATAATATTTATTAATTTGAATGTATGGAGCAGAAGGGGGTTGGGGTGGGTTGTTCTTTCTATATAATTGTTTTAATTAGAATGTGTGTGCATTCAATTATTCATTTCATATATAATCACCTATACTTATAGTTAAAAATAGAGAGTTTAACAAAACTTTTTATTATACAAAAATATGCTAGTGTCTGTTAGACTAATTTGGTTACAAAATGTTAGTATTAATTAATCTGTAGGAAGAGAAATTGAAAATTTAATTAAACTAAATAAATGGATTCATTTATTTCTTTTTTTTTTTTAAATTGTTAAAGGATTCTCCAGTTATTCGGAACAAAGCACAGATCAGTAGTGAAATCAATAAATAAAAATAATATTTTTCTTTAGGATCACTACATTTTAATGACAATTGAAGTAGTTTAAATAAAACTTACCTGATCACTATGCTTTTGGGGGATGTTAATACTGTTATGCAATCTGGCTTGTTTGTAGAAGTCATATATACAATCGAAAGAGCAAAAACAAGAGAGTGAAAAACTTCCTTAAAAGCTAAATTAGCACACAAAAAATGAACTAAAGCTCTAAAACATTAAGATTGTAAGGTGCTGATTATATTTTAAAGTAGCAATTAAAATAAAATATTTTTCATAATACAGTCGACCTCGGTTATCTCACCAACCCTGTTATGTAGGCCCCTTCAAGTTTTGGAAGTAGAGCAGCCAAATTCTCTCTTTGTCTTAGCATTTTCTCCTCGGTTATGCCGATTCTTTTACTTTTTATGTCGCCAAACCCTGATATCTCGAGCACAAAATGCGCCAAATTTGTCACTAAACCTCGGTTATCACAATCCCCATGACCAATCGCCGGCTTTTGAAAATTATATACATAGTAACGTGCCTACTTCCAATTGTAGTCATTGAAATAAAATTACAATATCTTTGTCCGTGCAATTAACTTGACACAGCAAAGAGTGAGAGGCTTGCAAACAAAAGAGAGAGGCGGGGTCGCAAAACCGGCCCCTTTTACCAAAACCGGTATTTTCGATAATGAAGTTAACGAATACCGGAATCCATGTATTTTCGATCATTTGTATAGTTTGAATCTTTGGTCAAATTCAAATAATGAGATCGTAAAAATGACAACGGCTCTAATGTGTGATCACTTAATTTTGAGCGCAAATGGTAACAAAAGTAACCAGATGACGAGAACTTCCTCTCAGACCCCACAATACCAAACGGATGTCTTTGTTTCCGAAAGTTTCATATGCTTTTCATATTTTGGTTTATTTTATTCAGTGTCCCCCCATTTCTTGCTATCATAATGAAGGGAAAATAAATCATTAGCAAAAAAATTATTTATTAAATCTATGACGTGTACAACTTTTTTTTTTTATGTTTAAATTTTCATGTAAATGTTTGGCTAGGTAAGGTACAGACAAACTGGGACATTCAGTCGTGTAAATGTTTGGCTAGGTAAGGTACAGACAAAAGGGGGCATTCAGTCGTGTAAATGTTTGGCTAGGTAAGGTACAGACAAAAGGGGACATTCAGTCGTGTAAATGTTTGGCTAGGTAAGGTACAGACAAACTGGGACATTCAGCCTGGGACAAAATAGCTCGTAAAACAATTATGAGGTGAATGTGAATTATTAATATTGTTTTCACAAAATAATAATAATAATAAAGTTCATTTCAAAAACACGCTTCATCCCCAAAGGCTCGAAGCGCGGTACAAAGTCAACAAAATACAAATCTATAATTTACCACATTTAAAACAAACGCAACACTACAAAAACTCATTACTAGCATACTTAAGGTATTTGATTATCGCAATATGGATTTACTCATAATTTTAAATATGTAGATACTTTGGGATGATTAGAGGAAATGAAGCAATCAAACATTTTTGTTATTCAAAGTTTACCCCGTGATTCGAATGCAGCGTCTTAGTATTTCCATATATTTCATGTTACAAAAAAATTGTTAATGTAAGTCAACATTCTATTTTAATTGGATTATACCAAACATTTATTTGTTAAATAATATAAAAAACATTTACTTTCCAATCATGTACCTTCACGTCGCGACTCACGACTCCACTTACACGCTAAACACGCACTATGTTAAAATGTAAAAACAAAACTAATCACAACGCCATGATCGTTGACAAATGAACAGTCCACAGATTTAGCCCGCCGGCCGGCTCTCTTTAAACTTGAAACACTTGGTGTGAGGGGTTCGCACTGTGCTCATCACATAAATTATTGCTACGTCTTGCTTTAACTACGACACGGAAACTAAGAAAAGCGATAAATATTTTTTGAAAATGAAATCCCGGGATTATCGAAAATCCCGGTTTTCATAATTCCATTCCCGTTTTTTTTTTTCGAAGCATCGATTATGGTTCGGTATTCCGGTATTTTCGAGAGTCGGGATCCCGGATTGCGACCCTTAGTCGCAGTACCTGTTCTGTTTATGGCGAACCCGCTTGTCGCTTAATAGGCTTTCACGCGTTCTCACACGTTGATTTTTATTTTTCAACCCAGACTTTGTATTTTGAATAAACTGAACTGGCGAATCCGAAGCGAGAGAAAATAAAAACTCCGGGTTAAAAAAAAACAAAACACGTGCATGTTCACCTCATTTATAAACAAACATCGTAAGAAATTTCAAGCACATATTAATATTGCCACCATATTGGTTTTCGTTTATCTCGATCATCGGTTATCTCGACGCTTTTTGGCAAGCCCGAGGCCGTCGACATAACCGAGTTCTACGGTATTTCAATGTCACTTTATGAAGCAAGGGGCCGAAAAAAACAACAACACTTATACATATATATTTTGCTTCTGGTATGGCTGCTTCCTTTACACAGTCGGGCCTCCCAAAATCCGTCAAGCATCGTGTAACGGTTGAGCTCGGGGGAAAATGTTGAATTTTTTCGGGGACGATTATATTAATCAATAAAGAGTCACTTGTGTAGGACTGTCTGTAGGCATATTATTTAATGGTAGGCAGGTATTATTCAGAAAATGAAACGGAGTTTTTTAACACTTGACTTTGGGGAGGGGGGATCCTTAAATGACGTCACGCAAATTTTGCCCCCCCCCTCCTCTTTTTGTCACAAAAAGTTAGATCCCCCCTCAAATATAACGTCACAAATCTCTGCACCCCACCCCTATAAAAAAATTCCCTTTGTCCACTACTGTCCTTTGCAAACCCTTAATGATTTCACCTTCCATGGATATCAAATTACTGCACCTGTGTCAGACACAGACATTTCACTAGAACAGTGGTTCCCTAAGGTGCGGAAGACCAGAAAATTGTGTTTACTGCCAATACTAGTTGTTGCTGCTTTAAAAAAAAAATCAGTTTTTATGCATTTTGATTAGCAGCAGTAAATATTTTCTGGTAAATTTTGTTTGGACACTACTTGTATTGGTCATTTTTTCCATGTTTATAACAAGTTAATTAAAGAAATAAAACTACGATAACTAAATTATTTAATAATTTTCATATTTTACTGGCCAATATACCCGGCAGTGCCCGGGATTGTTTTCGGAGAAAAAAAACTTTTGCCACCTTTTTCCGTTTACCTCTCACGGTGGGATACCGACCCCGTTTGGATCCCGATCCCGGTGTAATCCCGTTTCACGGAGGGACCCCGAGACCGTGGGCTCCCGGCCTGTACTGTAACATGATCAGAGACCATGTTTCGGACCGCGCATACTTGTACTGATTTTCTAATTGATCGTAGTTGAAAAATAAAATAATTGTTGTATAAAAGAATAAAGTTAAAAATGTCTGTAATATAGGGTTTTTAAGTGGAATCCTTAACTATAATATTTTGCGTTTCATGTGATGTCACATTGCTTAAGCCCCCCCCCTCCATCTCGTCACAAAATATGACGCCCCCCCCCCGACGTCATTTTTGGATGGCCTTTTGGGACCCACCGGACGTCAGTCGTCTCCTACCCCACTTTTCTTTTTCCCCCCCCGACGTCATTTTTGGATGGCCTTTTGGGACCCACCGGACGTCAGTCGTCTCCTACCCCACTTTTCTTTTTTCTCTTTTGCACCTCGTCTTGTACATTTTTGGATATATCCCCACTGTCTCAGAAACTAGGGCTAAGTTGTTATTGGCGACTGTGCCCAGTTGCTGTAGGGATTGATAAAATGTATTGGATATGTGGAGAAAGTCGAAGAGAATGTGTTGGAGAATTGTAATAGCCAAAGATACCCAAACGGGCTGTTTACTATTTAAAATTACGGAGCCACTTTTTAAAAATTTGGAAGAATAGTTATGTCTCAAACAATCATTGTTATTTGGCAAGTCTTAATAATAGAAATGTTTCGACAATGCAACCAAATAGTTTCAAAGTTAAATAGTTATGTTGCTGCATGGAAGCAGGCCCACAGAAGTCTGGAAATCGAATTATTGCTTAGAATTGGCATTTTCGTATTATTTATGTAAGAATTACAATAATGACAATTGAATTGACTTTGACTTTGATTCTTCTATCTATAACTATAATTAACTATAATTTGCCACTATAATTATAAATTATAACTATACTATAGACTATAGTTATAGACTATACTATACTATATAGTATAGTATAGAGACTATAGTTATAGTCTATACACTATACTCTATACAGATACACGATACATATAACATAACTAAATCAGTCAATTATGATTATGATGAATGAATGAATGATTGAATTATGAATTTTTTTAAAGCCATTTTCTTTACAATTCATTTAATTCAATAATGATACTGACTATACTAATACTAATACTGCTGGCGTGTCAATTGTCAATAATACTAATTACTAATACTAAAACAATTTAAATTAAAATTTAATTAATTAAAATAAATTCCACCTTCGGAAGTATCCTACTGCCTACCCCTAAGCTCAGTTAAACTGTAACTGTTAATTGTGTTAATTAAATTATTCTAAGTCTAATCAATTAGTAATTAGTCCTACTCGCTATTATTATTATTAGCTATTAGCTAGCGCCTATAACTTTAAGGCATATAAAGTATAAAGTCAAGGCCAAGGCCTATTTAACCCTCTTGGGACATAGACATAAGGGCAGATCTATCGGCCCAAGGTAAAATAGCGAAAAAGACAAAAGTCCGAACCATCGGCCCAGTAAATCGAGCCTCGTCATTGGCTGGCTTGGCGTTGTACCAGCGAATCAAATTTATTCTTACTTATTCCTGCACATCCCGGCCCATTAATGGCAGCGTTCGTTGATGGTGAACTAAATTTATTTGTGTGCAGGAATTTTTTTTGTGTGTATAGTATATCGGGAAATTTGAACATGTCTGGCAGTGACTCTGATTAAACTGTGCTTAGTGATTTTGATATTCTAGAAGTGGATCTGACACTGAAACTGATGAAAACAACCAGGAAATTAATGAAGACTTTTAAATTGAGGGTAATGCTAATGTTGTGAACTCTTGGTTTAGTATTACTAGTACAGTATTAGTATTAGGGGTCCTCAAATGGACAGACATGACCACTCTGAATTTTTAGACAATATAGATTGCAAAGAGCTGGCGTTTATTAGCTTTCAGACGACAATAATGTTATCTTTCTATTTTAACTTTCTTGTTTTTAAAGGTGCAGCAATCAAATTATGAGGAGACCCTAGCAAAGTAATAGTGAACAAAATATAACATAAATTTTGAATTAATGTTTATTTTTGCTTAAATTACTCTGTGTGGGGGTAGTATTGACATTTTTCAAAACCTATACTTTTAAAAAATAAGAATAATATAGCATTGAATAGCATAACTATTCATTTAATGAAGATATTGAAATAAAATTTTCCACGGTAGCAGTTTCCAACTGAAAGTAAAGAAATTTTATCAATTATAATCTCATTTCCAATCAAAATAAATCATCTCCACATTAAAAAAAAATTGACGAAAAGCAAATTTGACCAAAAACTACCGGTGGTCGACATATTGGAAAATTTAAACACTTCATTTGACTTCATTCTATTACATTGGCATAGCCCTTTACCTGGGCTTAGATCTTAGAACAACCGTAAAATTTAATAAGTAATGCCGTTATATGAAACTGCATCTAGGTCTACATGATATTATCATAATTTGTCCATATCTTATGACATCCTAGTTGACCTATTAAAATGCCCATATTATAGCCTTTAATATTCTTTTCTATAGAGATATTACAATAATATATTATTAAAAAATAAATAACTAATTAGTAATTTAGCGTGATTATAGGGGGGGAGGCAGCAAGTTTTTATCTTTATATTATGTGGAGGGGCAGTATTTTTGGCAAACTGCATAGTTTTATGTGGAAGGGCGTGGGTGTCAAAAATCTTGGTTGGCCCTGGGCAGCACTAACCGTATTTATGCCACTGGTGTATCAACACCAGTGACCAGGACATGAAATATACATAATGTAGGCCTACTCGAAGACTGGATTTCAAAGCTCAACAATAAAGTTTAAAAAATCAACATAAATCCAGGGATCAGACACATGGATATATGGGACATCAACCTCAATGGAGGCTAATCTGTGAGAGAGAAAGAAAACTCCAACCAGGCTTAGACACTTCAATTGATTACAGTTACCACTCCTATTGTTAGGGCTACCACAGTAACCTAACAGAAAACCCCAAAGACGGTATGACATTGTACGCAATAAAAAATTAATGCAACTACTACAATGCCCCTGGTACAAAGCCATATTGACCTTTTGATGTTTTCTTGGATTCGTCTTCTGCATTAATCTACTACCGGTATCTGGGAAAATTTGGTTCTAAATAAAAAATATATTACCCAGGCTTCGTTATTTTCCAGAGACTATCGATCAACATCAGACCATTATGACTGTGCGCCATACATTTTTTTTTTGTATAACGAGCCTAACAATACCATGAATTCAATTGCATTATTAAACTTGACCTATTTATAGATTAATTATAGCTTAATTTGATTTAATCAAATTATAGCCCCATTCTCTAGCTCAATGGTTTATTGATCTTTTATTTACAATTTTTTAGTATTCATGCTTCATGAAAATTTAAATAATAATTTATAGAAATATATTTTAAAATATTAATTTCTGATTAGAAAAAGAAAAAATATTTTATATGCAAAAATGTTTATGATTTTTTTAAATCTGGCCTATAAGTTATGAAATGAAGTTTAACATTGATTTTTTAAATCAACAGAATTACAGATAATCTTAATGGCCATAAACAAATTATCCAACCCGAAGAAGTATGGTTGTACAAATATCCTAACTCTCCAAGCATCATTGATTTTCATACACTTCAGGTAAGTTTCAAAATTTTTTTCTCTGCTGCGATCAAATTCATCAATAATAATCATATCATGATGCTGATTGAAAACAAAGTTTACTCCAAGGCTCTATAGCAGGCCTGCACAAAATACAGCCCGCAATGTGGCCCGCCCGCACCCACTTGGCGGCCCGCAAAGTAAAGAAATATTCTTTATTATTATTATTTTCTTAATAGCTTTCCCCCCTGTCCTATTATCTTTTGGCCCGGGCAAGCTTTTCATAGCGTATTAGAGCCCATCTTACATTTTGAGTTGCGCAGGTCTGCTCTTTAGACTTCAAATGTTTCAATTACACTTTAAGTATTGAAGTTTTTTACTAAATACAAAGGCTCCACAGTTAATTTTTTTTTTTCAAAATGGAATAATCATGTAAAATTTACTTTAAAAAATTAGAAGAAAAGTATCCATACTTTCTGAAATAATAGTATACGTAAATATTATCAATAAAATATTTTATAACAGCATGGGCTTCTTAACTTTGCCTATGTCCACTTTAGGTATTAAGTGCAATGTCAACCTTCTGTGTGATTTGGGCAATCTACCTATATAACAGAAATCTGTACAGTAGCATTAATGCTGTTTTAGGTAACTTAGCCTTTTTATTTATATTTATATATTTCATTGTATGACCTGGCATTGTTGTAATAGTGTTGTTCTAAGTTTTTTAGAATATTAATAAAGAATTACCTTGAAATCCAACACAAAAGAACTAAACATTTTTTGATAAATAATTAGAGTTCTGCATTTTATTGAAAATACACTACATGTTCTGTTTTGTCTACACCTTATCGGTTGCAGTTCTTAATTATAACCTAATGAAATTATAATAATTATAATAATAATAAAGTTCATTTCAAAAACACGCTTCATCCCCAAAGGCTCGAAGCGCGGTACAAAGTTAAAAAAAAACAAATCTATAATTTACCACATTTAAAACAAACGCAACACTACAAAAACTAATTACAAGCATACAATGTCAAAGTCTTTCTAGCCATTTCAACCATAAGCAACACAGCCATTATGCATTAACTTGAAAATAAGGTAGACAATTATCCTAGAAGGTGTTTGCAAAATAGATGTGTCTTTAAATCGGTTTTAAAGGACTCTAGTGTCTGGTTGTTTCTGAGATCGACAGGAAGGGCGTTCCAAATTGTTGGACCAGCAAATGCGAAAGTGCGCTTTCCGTAAGTCTCAAGGCAAACACGTGGTGATGAGAGTTTGCCACTATCGGATGAGCGGAGCTCTCTTAGTGGGTACATAAGGCGTCAGCAGCTCTTTCAGATAGGACGGCGCCAGGTCATGTAAGCAGTAGTAGCACAAAGTTGCGATTTTGTACTCTATGCGAGCACGCACCGGCAGCCAGTGCAACTCTCTCAGAAGTGTTTTTGCACAGTCGAACTTGCGTTTGCGGAGAACAATGCGAGCCACATTATTCTGTGCTATTTGAATTTTATCCAGGAGCGTAGCTGGAAGACCCACCATGAGAGCATTGCAATAGTCCATGCATGATATCACAAATGCAGACATCAGCCTCTTTGTTGCATCAATTGTTAGGCAGGACCTGATGTGACTAATCCTGCGCAGCTCCAGAAAAATCGCCTTTCATAACATGTTAATATGACTTTCAAAAGTTAGTCTTCTTTCTAGGTAGACACCCAGGTACCGCACTGTTTGAGCTAACTCAATACGCACACCTGAGAGAGAAAACAAACTTACTATCCAATAATGATCATTGACTCTCAACAAAAACATCAGTGTTATCTTTGTTCTTCGATTTTTCTCCATGTTCTGCTGTCAACTATCAAAATAGTAGCACACTATTAAGTCTTGCGTGACCAAATTGAAATCAATCACCATCTTCTTCAGAGAATCAAAAATCACAGAGAGAAGATCTTTTTGTAAATAAATTACACACATTTTATTCTAAAGTGATTTAAATTTGTATGTTGTAATATCAAACTTCAGGAAAAAAAATTTAAATATATTTCCTTACAGGTGTAAGTTTATCAATGTACCTTTCTTTGGTGATTACTAATTTGATCAAGCTTGTGGTGGGAAGGTATGATAATTTTTTTTTATAAATACTAACATATGGTCAAGAAATAAAATATATTTTAATGCTTAGTTAAATTTTTAAATGTTTTTTTACTGGTCACCACTAATTAAAACTTTTAAAGACATTTAATTTATTTAAGTTCATGTCATCAATGATTTAACTACATAGTTATTCTAAATGTTCCATCTTGGTTTCTTTAACAATAACTGAATTTACAAAACTAATATAGAAGTAGGAGGATTTACTTTATTCCTTCCAATGTTTTCGTGGACCGGAGTTTATCTCATAATTTTTGGGGAGAATTTATTCTATTCCCCCATGTTTTGGGGGAGAATTTATTCTATTCCCCCATGAAGAAAAGCTATAGAAGTTTAAATTCATTAAAAAATATATCTCTGTTAATTAAGATTTTGTGAATGTATAAATAAAAGTAAAGAAGTTGTTACTGAAAACGTATTGCTTGGACAGAGTCCTCGTCTTGGCATATTGTTGTTATTCACAGTAAATATTGCTTCCCAAAAATTCCTTTTAAATCATATTTTAAATGAAATGTCGTGCCATTGAAAGTACATATATCACAAACTTAATATAAAAATGCTCAAATGATTTCAAAAGTTTAGTGTATTTCTGTATTTTCCTTTTCCCGAATTTTCTGAGAAGTCTATTTTAAAAATAAATGAAACCCCGATGTTATTTTTATTCAAACAATATTTCTAATTCAGGCCTCGTCCAGATTTTTTTGATAGATGTTATAAAGAGCTCCCAGAAGATCCTAAAGTTTTATCTCAAGCAAATTGTGACAGGTCAGGAGATCTAGTCAGCCAAGGATACAAAAGTTTCCCCAGTGGACACTCAACATGTAAAAAAAAAAAAAAAATTAAATTTCTGAAATTTCATATAGGGGCTCATTGAGGATAAATTTCTATGAATGAATATAAATAATTATATAGGATTGTTTCTTGTATTTAAAATAGAATATAAAATTGTAAAATTCTTTGTGCTACAGTGAAATTATTTTCTCTATAAGAATGAAATTACAAGTTTGGCTTTGCATTATTTTTTTGTATCTCTAATATTGAACGATTTCAACATACAGTCATTTCTTGACACTTCCAATGTTTTATTCAACCATCAATTTTGAGCCTTTTGACCATGCTGTATCCATCCCTATGGAGCTACAGCCTATGTAGGGCTTTGGCCTGGCTCACCTCTTCCTTCCACTCACACCTGATGCTCTTCTTTTCCATGCTTGGATTCCCAGCTGCTGTAAATCTTTTTCCACGTCATAACTCCAGCAAAGCCTAGGTCTGCCTTTGAGAGTTGAGCAGTTTTCCCCTGTTTTTGGTGGTGCACTCTCTTCACTCCTCTGTCATTTGACATTCCTTCTAAGTGTCCCACCCAGTGTAGCCTGCCCTTTTGTATATCGGCTACTACCGTGGGGTCCTTATATAGCCTATGCAATTTCTGGTTGGTTTGTATTCTCCATCCATATTCATCCTTTTTTGGTCAGTATATTTTCCGGAGAACATTTCTCTCCCATGTGTTTAATAGGTTTTCTGCCATTTTTGTTAGGGTCCAAGATTAGCTTGCATATGTTACAACTGGTCTGATTATAGTTTTATATATAGTTTTATATTTATTTTTCTTGTAATGTTTTTATTTTTGAGTATTTTGCGACTACTGAAGTGTGCCCTGTTTCCGGGAGATTTTCTTTCTTTATTTCTCTCAGTGATTCATTTATTACATTTATTAAGGAACCCAAGTATCTGAATTGATTTACTTTTTCAAAAGTGTGGTTTCTAATTTTAATGGTTTCATTTGTCTGTTCTTCTCTTATCATTGTTATGTATTTTGTTTTTTGGTTATCAATGTTTAGCCCTGCTTGTAGTGATGCATCTTCTAACTCAATAAAAGCTTTTGATATGTCTTCCCTAACATTGCTATGTCATCAGTATATGTAAGAGACTGAAGGGATTGGTTTTAGCGAGGGCCTATTGGTTGTGGGTCTTGGGTTTGCTTCAGAAAGTATCTTGTTATTGTCCCTTGGATGACAGTATGTATGCTTGTTATAACTCTGTAATGTTAGCTTGAATATTCCCCCTGTTATATGTATCAGTCTTGTCATTTTGCTGGGTGTGCCAAACTCCTGCAGAGTCTCATATAGATATTTTCTTTTGAGATAGTCCACATAGAGTTGATGTACTGGGATATTATATTCATACAATTTCTCTAATAGGCATCTGATGGTTAAAATCTGATCAGTCGCTGATCTATTTTTTCTGAATCCACATTGCTAGTCACCTAGTATATGTTTAGTGTACGGTTGTAGTTTTTTGGCAGTTAGTTTTGTCAGTTTCATGTATATACCATTTAATAGGCTAATTCCTCTGTAGTTTGTGCATTGAAGTTTGGAACCTTTCTTGTGTATTGGAGTTATTATTGCTGTTTCCCATTCTGTTGGAATTTTCTCTTCTTGCCAAATTTTAGTTACAAGTTTATGTGTCTAAGTGTGTAGTTTTCTTTCTCCATATTTATAAGTTCTGCAATAATGAAGTCTTCATCAGGGGCTTTGTGTTTTTCTTATAGAATTGATTACTTCTGTAGTTTCTTCCAAAGTTGGGGAGTCCAAAGGGTCTGGTCCTCCTTGTGGTGGTTGATAATCTTCTTTTCCATGGTATGCATTTAGTATGTCCTCAAAATATTTAGCCCAACTCTCCAGTGCTTTACTATTTTCTTTTATTAATTTTCCATCATTACTCTTACACATCTGAGGTCTGCCTTGTTATCCATTCTTTTCATCTTTTATCTTCATTTAAGTTCCTCTAAGATTTCCCCCTCTTGATAAGTCTTCTATTTTTTTTAGTTTAGCTTTTTTCCCATTCCTTTTTTCGTCCTACACATTTTCGTGGCTTTCCTTCTGGCTTCATTGTATATTGGTCTCATCTTTGTGGTTTCCCTTTGTATCAGGGTCATTCATGCTTTCTTCCTGTCTTCCACAGTCTCTCTGGCTACTACTCAAACCAGCCTACTCTACCGTTAGTTTGATGAAATCCTACTGATTTTTCTGCTGAGCTTTTCATAGCATTTTTTTATCATGTCCCAGTGTTCATTTATGTTGTTTTCCCTGTTTATTTCCTCCTGTTATGTTTCTAGTTGTGCTTCTAATTCAATATGGTAAGCTGTTGTGGCTAGTGGGCCTTTGATAATTTTTGGGTAATCATATAGTTTTTCTCTTTGACTTCAGCCATTGTGTATTATGCTTCTTCTCTGCTTTATTCAACCGTTACAAGTGGATGGTCAGAGTCTGCATCTGCTCCTCGATAGCTTCTAGCATATCTGATCCATGCCTCTAATGATTAGAACATGGTCAATTTGGTTGTGAGGGATTACAAGTAACTTTAAGTATATTTTTTCTGATCCCATTGTCATATGATTCTTCATGTAGACTTTCCATGGCAATAGTTGGCATAAACACTTTTTCTTTCCCTATTTTGGCATTAAAGTCACCAATCACTATTTTTAAAGTCATGTCTTGGTTCCTCATCATAGAAGGATTCTTTTATCTGACCTTCTATATCTTCGGTAGAAGCATACAAATTTATGAATGTTTTATTAAACATTTTTCATCGCACACACAAAGAGCACAATCTTTCATTCTCTGCTTTAAACCTATGACTGCACTGACTGCTTCTTTCTTCATGCTGTATTTTATTTGTGAATGTTTCTTACAATATGCGCATTGTTTACTGATGATGTTTAAAGATGGACTTATCTTAACTGGGACAGAGCTCCAGGCTCTTTAGTATGAGTTACAAAGATTTGACTGAATTTTTTTTAAAATATAGGTTACCGACAGCTGAAGCATTTTTACATTTTAAAAAAATTACTTTTTGCAGTGGCATTTGGTGGCATGGCATACCTATCATTTTACATAGCACTTAACTTAAAAGTGTTCAGCCAGATTAATTCACAACACTCAAGTCTGCGGTTGATTGCTTTCCTAGTGCCATTAGTAGTAGCAACACTAGTAGCTGCATCTAGGACAAGCGATTACCACCACCACTGGCAAGGTAAGACAAGAATACACAAACTAAAGACCAAATTTGTGAATTGATTTAAATCTATTGTTTCATTGTTGGCCTAAACAACTACAGATCGGCCGACTTGAATGAAAGGAGTTGATTAGGACCAGGTTTTGGTCCAATTAAATCTGCACTTAACTAAATTTTCTCAAAGTTTCTTTGAGTGAAAAACAAATACCAAAGTTAATGCTATAACACACTGCTTAGGATATATTTTTAAATGGCACATTTTTATTTGGCTGTTGATTGATTGTGTCTTCACACAAGCACTGCCTTTTCTGCTGATGTGCTGCCAATAAACAAAAACTATTGAATTATAATTCAATTTTCTGATTTATGCCACATAAAGTAATATAATTTACTTTTTAATTGGTAGGGGATAAATTAAAGATGAAGTTAATGGGTGAAACAAATGTTGGCAGGTTGTTTTTTTAGTCGTTATTGAGGTATTCACTACTTTCTCATTTTCCACATTATTTTCATTATTATCAATTCATTCAATTTGCTGAAATGGTTGCTTACTGTTTTCTTTCTCAGATGTTTTAGCTGGTTCTTTTATTGGCCTCATGGTGGCCTATATGTGTTTCCGACAAAATTTTCCACCTCTCACAACAAAGAGGATGGATCTATCTCACCCTCTGTCACCTTTGCCTGAACAACAAGGGTCACAGCTTTCAGTTATTGAGAGTCATTCATCCATTTAGAAACTTCATCATTAATAATGTTTGTTTAAAGCTGTCTGAATAAATTTGGCCTATCTTTTATTTAATGATATTTAATAGATGTGGTATGTGACATCACGACCATCAATTTTAAAAATGGGTTTCTTTGTGAGACATTCCATACCAATTTTTGTAAAAAAAAAAAAAAAATTTTAAATTAATTATATTTTTTTAAAAAAAAAAAAAAAAAAAAAAGCTAAAAGAATTATATATTTTTACATCATAATATAAAATGAAACAAGGAATTGATTGAAACTACCTGCTGATCGAAGGTGATCCATTACATTAAATATGTTTTTGACAATGTCACCTCTTTTTGTTTTTTCATTGTAATTTTCTTTGTCTGGTGCCTTTTTTTGTGTTACATTTATTTTGTACATCCTGTTACATATGGACCCCTGAAGTTTAAAAATGAAAATTGTCTAAAATTGTGTAATAAGCTATATTTAATTCAACACCTAAAAGTAATTAAAATACAATTTTATTATCCTAGCAGAATAAATTTTAGATATATATATTTGTGTATTTAAATTTTTTTTTAGATCATCTCTATTAAAAAATATTTCACTTGTTTATGCGTATCGGTAAGATTTCATTTTATTAATAAAATTATGAAAGTCTAAATTCAGATTTTAGCCTTCTAAAAGTTTAATACTATGCTGTAATATAGAAGCGTCAAATTGCACAATTTTTACTTAGAGATTTTGTTCTGGAAACAAAATATATTTCTCTAAATCAAAATTAGTCAATTTCTTTTTCTTTTTAAAGAAAATGCATACAAATAAGAAATATCCCTTTTATTAACATTATAATATGGCAATATCAAATCTTGGTGAGCTTTTTTATTCCTACTTCTATTACTTTTAAGAGGAATGTGCAATTCTTTTAAGGTAAATTCAACAGAGTATCAACACATGGCATATCCTTTATTGAAATAGCAAGATAATTATTAGTAACCACTACATTTTTTTTTCCCACCTGATACCCAAAAAATGTGCAAACTACCTGATACTTTTATTTTTAATGTTATTCAAATGATTGAATCTCTTCATAAAATTCCTTTAATAATTTTTTGTTTTGGTTTAATTTTAATTGTTGGTATGCACATTTCTTTGTATTCTTTTTAATTTGTTGCCCTTACATGCATTTTGTTTAGTGCAATAACAAGAATTTAATTTAAATATTTTTTTTTTAAAAGCAGAAAGACATTTATGTATATATTTTTTTTTTAAACTTGCCCCACCTTAATGGCTGTTAGAACTCAATTGAAACAGTTCTTAAGCTCATAATGATCATAGATTTAACTCATTTTTTATGTGTTGGCATCTTATAGATATTTATATTTTATTTAAAAAAAAGAATGTTCAAGTTAAATTAAGAATCGGTAAGAAACTCTGGGAAACTTCACCATTTTTAAATCCTTTAGATTAACTTCGCTTTTGTTCTGGCTGACTGGCTGGCAAAATCTTCTTCTAATTGACCCACTTCTGGTCATCCTATGGAGCTGAAACTTGACACGTAGACTTATTGCAAATGACAACACATTCTTTCAAATTCTCAGACCCAACCTTCAAAAATTAGCTTTACCTGTTTTTCAAAGGAAAGGTGAAGGAAATATGATGCTACTGATTTCACAAAATAAAATTCCAGATAACTGTGCTAAATGAGATCCTTAAAAAAAATTATAGCAATATAATTTGGTGCATAATATTTTCTTTTGTTTCTCTAAAATTGATTTTTGACCAAATCTGCTGTGTAAAAAAGGGTTGGTCATTATAATATTAATATAGTTCAGGGGATTGAAAAAAATGTTCAGGTATGAGACGGGGGGGGGGGGGGGGAC